AGCAGATTTCCAAGAATTTTCACCCAATTACCCATCTGAACTTTCGACTAATCTCTCACCCTCTCTCCTCTCAAATTCAGCCGCATTCACGACAAGGGAACAAGCATATGAATAATTCGAAACAGTTTATTGTTTCTTTTTTTTCACCAAAAATGTCCCATTTGAGTGTCATTTTCGCTCGCTTGTAAACGATATCAGCCATGCTCAGAAGTACTGCTCGAGGTGAACGTTGATAACGCTCGAAGACAAAAAGAACAATCTCGTTGTGTAGACTGATAATTTAGTACGGAAGTAAAACAAATTGGCTATTGAAGAAAAATAAATGAAAACAAAATTTCAAGCGAAGCTAAACGAATGAACGTTTTTCATTCGGTTGAATATCGTTATAGAGGATGCGATTCGGATGAAACGATTTCAACTTCTCAATAACCGAACAACCAATTCGTCCTAAGCCAATAACGCCAATCGTCGATTCATACAGTCCAACACCACACCTGGAGAAAATTTTGGTGAACTACTCGTCTAAGTTCTGATATGAAATCTTAATCGATACAAACATCACTTGATTCTCAAAGTAAATCCATCTGTTGTTGACATTTTCTTGAATTGGAACATATAATTCAATTAAATATGATGTTTTCAATAAATTTCTCCAAAATGCTTAGCATTTCATTATAATCAGTTCCCAATGGTTACTCTTTCCAATAAAACTTTCACACTTTAAAATGTTGAGAGTCAATACGTCCATACTGAAATTTACGAAGCAAAACAAGAAACAACCCAGCTGTCAAGTGAGCACACAATCAAAAAATATGCCTCACATATAAAATGGCTCCCAGGTTCCCCATCGACCGTTCTTCACGTCGGCAACACCCTCACACAATCGACGTGCAGTTGCAAGCAATAATGCGACTGTCAATTCGGCAGTAGTTTCAGTCAACACATCAGGTGTATTCGTTACAACGATATTTCTGTAATTCAACTTCGATGATACATTGTGTGCATTAACATTCAAAGCAGCCTTCAAAAAAATGCGTTGCATTGATGAATATAATAAAATCGTATCAATGCTATCATTAACTATGCTTTTTCCTATTAGATTTTCTTAACATACAAATAACTTTTCATTATTATTTGACTGTAATTATCTGAAAATGATTCGGTTGTATAATAATAAGCAAAATCTCATTCGAAGCGATGAAAGGGATTTCTTGGTGANACCCTATTAAATTCCAACAAAGCATCCGATGCAATTCAGAAACAAATTTCCGAGTTATGAAGCTGAATTTTCCGCTTGAACCGAAATCGGAACAGTTTCCGTCTAATGATCGATTGTTATTTGATGAGTTTATTTGCAGATACATGATTCCATTGGTTGAAGAGAACAATTATTTAGTGATATTAAAATACTCAAGAACATATTCCAGAGATTCAATTGTCAACACTTCACGGGCACATGATGCATCAGAATAGTCGAAGAAAGCATTCATGAAGAAACGTTTAATCAGTTTATGAAAGAAACCACCGAAAATGTCAATTGAAACAAGTTTGAGTCAGCAACTACGCAACATTCAAGTGTTCAAGAATGGTAACAACTGAATTAGACTTATGAAAAATGCAAAACAATGAAAAATAAACGAATAATAAGCAACCATGCAATACAGTGCGTCAACATTCGCTATTTGTTGCATGAGCAAATCTCGAGGCATTTTCCCATTGCGCATGTACTGAAACACTCGACTGCACTCGCACAGTCTCGATAGATTGACACTGCAATCCGTGACGAGAACGGTTGGTGCATCCACTGGTACTTTCTCAGCGGATACCATCGACACCGATGCTCCAGCAGATATGGAGCGTAGGAATGCTGATTTGGCTTGACCCATTGACTTTCGGATTGAAACTACAGACTGGACGACTGAAGTTTCGATGTTTGTTAAGCCACGAAGTTTTTTGGAACCAACCGAACGCGTGAGATGACGACTCCCGAAGTATTTGTTCAAATAGGTGAGCAAAATGGAATCTTAATAAGTGATTCTACTTTTTATGAATAAACACATACCAATTAGCGCTTAGTAGCATACGAAAAAGTACTGAATACGGGTTTTGAGTTCTGAACGCGATCTTTGCGTGCAATACTTTTGGTTGAAATTATCGGATGCTTCTTGATAAACAGAAATCATTTGGTGCCTTGCACATAAAACAGTTATAATATTGTTTTTTTGCATCACCCTGATGCCCATATCTATCATAAAATAATTACTACTACTATTGGCCTTCTAAACCGTCTTCAAAAAAGTAACTAAATATTGCTACAGGTAGGGAAGGGAAAGTGGGCGATTACATTGCACTTTTAGTTCTAACAGGGCGATTGGCTGAAAAAGGCTGAAAAACCATAGATGAATCATAATAACTAATATAGATTCTTTCAGCTGTCAATAATCGATACACTACGCGATATATCAATGGTACATCTCAAATAACGAGTAACTTCTAATCCTATGAACGTAAAACTAAATGTATCTACTATAAACAACCGATCTGCACGAAGAACAAAAGCAAAAATAAATATGAACTAGTGAAACGGTGAAGATTATTTTACATGTATTTCATACAGGATTTCGTTTCCTTCCGTATTGAACTGAATAAATAATCATTTGCACGGTGACATTTATATGCATGCAAATATTCGAAGAATCCATCAAACAAACTCTTCATTTATGAAGTTAATTTTATTACTCATTATTAGCTACAAGTAATAGTGATTAGAACGCAGGAATTTTTTATTATACAATGTCAGTTGAAACGCTTTATGCTTTCGGCAACTTATATATGATTGCTGCCTGAAACCAAAACGTACTTCAATTCTTAATGGGACGGGACTCTTTTTTGGATTCCTAAAAGTAAAAAATCTATAGGTTCAGAAACCCTAAAAAAAACAGAGAATCCATTTTTAGTTTTCTGAAAACAGAAAATCTGAAGTATCCGATGTAGAGGAAAAAAGACATGTTGCTGGGCAAATCTGAAAGTACATTCAGATTAAAAGGGCGATTCCGAAACTGCTATTTCATTGTATACATCAACCAATGCAGATACGATGTATATGAATGAAGGTCTCTGAATTTAGCTAATGTAAGTATTTCATGTAGCCGAGCGATTTCATTACTGTACGGCTATCATGAGTGCCATTTTCGAACTAGCTGTATCTTCAGGTTTGCATAGCATCACGCGAATTCTTCTCGAAATCGACATCGAAAATCTCTAGTTTCAGAAAATATATAAGTTGCCGTGCGATTTTTCATAGTTCCCTTGAATATATCTGAATTATGTGAACCGTTTCATTCAAATACAGAATACATATGACATGTTTACTAATCAAAAACTGTCGACAATAACAATTAATACATTTTTTACAAATAAGAGTGAGTAAATGAATGAATATTATATTATTGGATGAGATGAAATATCGGTGATGGATAACATGACAACATGACAATGTAATATGAATTACTCAAACAATCAGCACATATAAAATTATTTCCAAAACATTCTGACGAATTGTAATCGAAGGAGAGTTTAATGTAAATTCTGATATTTGCAAATAGTGTTATGCAATTATTTAACATATAGCAAGCATATATAATATGCACAATGTCTTCAATACGCATCAAAAATGGATTTGTATCGACGACA